TCTTTTGCTTGATGTAGATTTTATTCGCCATGCGACACTTCAAAATAGAGCTGCAATTGATTTTCTTTTACTTGCACAAGGCCATGGCTGTGATGAATTTGAGGGCATGTTGCATGAATCTTTCTGATCATGCACAGTCTGTACACTCACAGCTCTCTGAGTTACGAAGGTTACCTGGGAATTTACAGGTAGAATCAGGCCTTGGTATTGATGGATGGCTCAAATCTTTAAGCTTAGGGTCATGGTTACGTTCTATTGTTAAGGTTAGCATTGTAGTAGCTATTGTAGCTTTGTTGTTAATATTAGTCTTGCCATGTTTTTGTATATGCTTACAGAATATGGTGCGAAAGATGATAACTACCGCATTTAACCAAACCATGCTTGTTCAACAGAAAAATGGGGGAAATGTAGAGAGCTTTTTGGATAATTAGCTAGCTGAGAAAAGCCACTTCGATGTGATACCGATGGATAAGGATAGGGGAAACAAGCTGGGGATTAACCGGTGTCCAATCACTGACAAAGGTCATAGTGACCTTCGCTGAAACGGGAAGACGGGGGAGAAAATCGCTTGCCAGAAAATGTAGATATCCTAGGTAGAGAAGCTAGAAGAATGCAAACATAGAAACAAAATAATCATTAGAGCATAGAAGTAGGTGTGGTTGATCTAAGTGTGCTTTAACCAATAATGAGCTCAGCTTTTGCAATATGTATAAGCTTCATTAACACCAATATAAATATGTGTGAGCTTTCAATAAACTTTGGGATTTGCCATCCACGCATATTGTGTGAGGCATTTCTTCCGCCGTTCACGACACAGTGGGAACTGTGGCTGGGGTGGCGGGGCGGGGGGGGAGGATGGCTTCTCTCCCCTGCATGGTGGTTGCAGGCAAATCTCAACAGTGGTAGAATCTTGGCTGAGCCAGCCTGAGGCTGCTCCTGGGGGCCGGTGGACCCAGCTCGGCCTCACTTAGTAGCAGCAAGATGTTAGAAATCGCAGCCATGGCCTGGCCCAGCATCGGCTCCATGGCCAATCCCTCCCCTGCCCGGCAGCCGATGTGGGGGGGGGGAAGGGGGACCCGGTGGACAGCCTGAGAAGGGGGCCTGGCCCCACAGCAGGGGCTTCCTGGCCCCTGTTACCTCTTTGCCAACCAGAAAAGAAAGAAGTTCCCGTGTTTCTTTCATCTTTAACATGTGTTTTTCACAGAGGCGTATATAACTTTCCAGTGGCTGGAAGCTTTGCATCACTTCCATGAATGCCTCCCATGGAAAACCATCACACTGATAAAACCAGTCAGTGAGTCGTTTTGAATACTAAGACTTTTTTAAACCACTAGAAAACTGAACATGCCCCTGTAAATGCACATGTTAAAAACGAAAAATCCCGGGAATTCTCTTTTTCTCTTCCAGCCTGAGAGCAGGTAACAAGGCCAGCCCGGCCTCCTGTCTCGGCTGGGCTGGGCTAGGCAGGCTTTGCTGCGGGGCCAGGCCCCATCAGCTGCTGGGCAGGGGGAGGGGAGGCTGCAGGGCCAAGGCCAGGCCGGGCCACGGCTACGGCTGCTAACTTCTTGACACTACTAAGCCCTGCCCCGCTGCCAGCCCAGGCCAAGCCACGGTTCACCAGGCCCCCGGGAGCAGCCCCGGGCTGGGTCAGCTCGGCCAAGCTTCTGCCGCCATTGAGGTTCGGCTGCAACCACTGAGCAGGGGGAGGAGAAGCCATTGGCCCCCAGCATGCTGCTGCTGTGTTCTAGCCTGGCTACTGAGATAGTTGCCTCCCCTCACCAGCAAGGCTGTCAAAGAAATCCTCTACCGTAAACAGCTCCACCACTGCCTGGCAGAAATCATATGACCTCTCACCAGGCCTGGGTGAGATATTAACTCTTTTAGTACACAGATGTGACCTACAGGCATCAATCGTCCCTCGGGTGAGAGAAAAGGACAGAGTGAGAACATGTAGAGGAACAACATGAAGACACCAAGGTCTGTGAAGAACAGTTCAAGTCCCAGATGGAAGGGATGAGGCCATGCCTTGATCTTGGGGATGAAATACTCTTGTAAAGCCGTGGAGAAGATATAATTGATACATCAGATTCTTCTTCCCTGTAACCCATTGAAAAGTATGGGGGATGAAGCGTTCAAATTGTAGATATGAGCAAAGGCATCTATGCTAAAGCAAGCAGATGTTCAAGTAGCTGTAATTTCGTGAGAAGCTTGAACAGAGAGAGGAGTGATGAAGACCCTCTGCCCCAGGGAAAGAAGAAGAAAACCTCTGTTCTCAGGGATGATCTCAGATATAGATAAAGAGAACCCTTGCTCTTGAACAGCTCATCCTTAAAATAGTACCCCTGTGGTGGTTTGACAGGAAATATGTTTTCTGGGATGCTGTGGTCAGGCCAGTGGGTGCTCAGATTTTAATATTGGCACCTAATGTGTCCATTGGGACATTGGATCCGCCTCTGAGAACACGGGGTTAAAAGCAGGGCTCTCGCCCTGGGAGGCTCTTTGGATTTTGGGCGGGAAAGAGTTTGGATCTCTCCCCCCCCAGTTGCCGGCTGGGTGGGGGGAGGGGAAGCCACGTGGCCATGAGGTAGGCCTGGCCCAAGGGTGGAGGAGAGAGAGAAGCACCGGAGTTTGTATAGCCATGTACTGGGCAGCCCCCTCCCGTGCTGGCCGGAGAAGGGGGGGGGGGGGGGGGGGGGAATACCGTGCAGCGATGTGTTCGGCTGCTTGTAAGAGCTTTTAACCCTTTTGTGGACAATGAAAACTCTGCAGAGCATTGACCTCTCCTGGAGGGGGATGGAGCAGAAGATGAAGAGGGAACTGAGTAAGAGTTGGAGGTCTGAGCAAGGGAGAGATATGAAAAGAATAGAGAAGAAATCAGGTAGAAGAGATGGTGTAGTAGCTTATGCTGGACTCTTTTTGTGTAGCCATGGACAGAGACATGTTTCCTTGTGATACAGAGACTGCATTCTAGGGGGAGGCAATGCCTCAGGACCAAGAGGGTTCAGTGTGGGTACCCCTCGGCCCCAGGGGGTGAAAAATATGGGGGGGACAGATGTCCCAAAGTTGAGACTGTGCCTTTTTGGAGTGGGATGAAGCATCCTTAAATGTCGACCCTAGAAGCAGCTCTGGTCCGTGTTCAGTGGTGAGAGAGCTGGACATGAAAGGAAGAGGTCATCATTGGCACAAGAAGGACTCCTTCTCCTCTTGATGAACTGAGGATTGAGTATTCTGAAGGGTGGTGCCGGACCAAGAGTCGAAGATTTGGGAGATATATTGTATTGGGAATTTGGTGGGGAGGAGGAGGAGATGTATTTGTGAAGTTTTCATTTTCCTTGTGTGTTTCTTTTTTTTTCCTTTCCCTTGTAGTTTAGTTAATAATTTTTTTTTTCTAAGTGGGAGCTTGCTTTGCTTATTCCCGGTCACATCTCACAGCAGAAACCAGGGAGAGTATTCTCATGGGGGCACTGGCATTGTGCCAGTGTCAAACCATGACAACCCCATAAGTTGACATGGCCCATAAACACAGCTGTGGGAAAAGCTGTGAAAAATGGGAGGGACTTCATGATTGCAGATTTTCCGGGCGGCTGCTATTCATGGAAATTAAAAGCTACGAGAGAACTGTTTTCTTGTGGAGAAGTCTCCATAAATCGACAAGATGGACTCCTCTCCCTAAGTGAACTGAAGAGAGACTATTCTAGAAGTGATAAACTGACTGAATTGTTTCTGTACATTGTGAGTGGGAAAGAAAAGGTTGTAGGGGGGAGGAGAAGTGTTCTATAGGTTTTATTCTGATTCTTATTTTTCTTTTTTTTAGTTACTTTTAATAAAGATTTCTTTATACCTTTTTAAAGTTTTGAACCTGCTTTGCCTTCCTCCTAATCCTATCCCACAGCAGGAAATGAGTAAGTATATTCTAGTAGGTGCACTGGCGTGTTGCCAGCGCTAGACCCACCACATTTTCGTGAATTGTCAGAGAGCAAGAATGAACAAAGTGTGCAAGGGCTTTCTAATTATTCTATGAGACTTTTCTTGTCTGCTACAGTTTCTGTTTTTACTGTATCCCCTATGTTTCCCTCTCAAATGAGATGGAATAAGGGGTTGCTTAAATTTGCTATGGCTCATTAAAGAAGGATGTTAGAGGAGCAGTCACATTGGACTCATGTTCTTTTCAAACTCCAGTACTTGGTACTCTTAGTGCAAAACAGATGTGAAATCAATGTGACATGCACCTTTGTGTCAGTGCATGGCTGCTCTGCTCTTCCAATTGCTTCTTGCTACCACACATAAGAAATAAGATAAAGTATGACGGATGGCATTTAAAAAATGCAATACACTATGTATTTGAGAAGGAAAACCCTTATTCCTACTGAAGATTTACTGGCTGTTTTGTACTTTTTGGGGGCTTTCTGGCTTTGGCTATTTCCCTGAAGAAGTCAGCAATGGCACCTTAACTTCAGCTTAACAGTCTGTGTTAATAATTGTTTTTAAAATTATGATTTGTATTAAATTGCAAGCAATTTAATTTTAGTTGAATTACCAGCTGATTGAATACCCACAAGAAGTGGATATCAGAATACAGTTTCAGGGGACTTCCCTCCTATGTCAGGATCTTTAATTTTATATCAGCCTAGAAGGGAGACAAACAAGCCTTTGTGAAATGCACCTCAGGAAACATTCCCACCCAAGGGAGACTCAGAAAAGAGTCCAAGTGGTGTGGCTTTCACATGGTATTTTATTTACTTGCCACTTTTAGTTTTTTGTTCATTAAGTTTTTCACTTGTACACTTGACTGTCCCATTAGAGCCTCTGGCTAGATCTGGCCTCTGACTAGATCAAATCTGAGCCATTTTACAGTGTGGCCAGGAATCATTTTCTATTTATCACATTTTTTTTAACCCCTTTTTTTTTCTGCTTCTATCTGCATTTCTCAGAGCAGGGATAAAAATAACTTTTTGAAAAATTTTTCATCTGGTAATTCATCTTTTGTGTTTCCTTTCTAGGCCGAATTCACCAAGCTATGGTAACATCTCTAAACAAAGATAATGAAAGTGTAACTGTTGAATGGATTGAAAATGGAGATACTAAAGGCAAAGAGGTAAACCTAATTATTTTAGAACTTTTCTCTTTAAAAAAATGTGCCATCTGCATGAAGTATGCTTTGGAATTTGCACTGGAAATGGAGAAAATATAAATCTTAATTTACATAACTGTTGCCTTTTTCAACCTAGAAATGAAACTCAAGAGAGTTTTAATATAGGAGGTAATATAAAAGCGTATCTTTATTTGGAGGCCTCCAGGGGCATTTATGGGGAATGACCACAAAAGCCCACCCCTATAAGGGGTGCATACAGTTTTATAGCGTTTGTAAATTAGCATAATTGACAAAAAACACCAATTAGGAGCACAGGTGGTGAGGCAATTCCCCCTGGGTCAAGCCCCTTCTAAGTCTTCCCTTCTTCAGTACTAGCTGTACTTTGTTTATCGTGAAGAGTTCTTCTCAACCTTGGTAGCCAGGAAGAACCAAGATAGAATAGGGGCCTTGTACCCCCCAGGGCTTGGAGCTCTGGAATTTGTTTTCTTTCTGTCTAGGGAAAGGGCATGGAAAATTACTGGGAAAATGAGTCACTAATGCAATAGGTTACAAATATACGTGTAAAGAATACAGAGAATATATAAGGGAAAAAAAGGCAAAAACCAAAATGGCATCAGACGATTCTTTGTTTACAGACTGTTTTAAATGGGAGTTTTTAGGCAAATGCTGGTTTCTGTTGTATTAAATTTTACTTCCTGAGTTCTTTGTTATAGCTTTTATATAGTGCTGTTCATATTTTGATTTTGAAACAGATTACAAAGTCTGAACTTGTTACCCTTTTTTACAAGTTGAAAAATCAAATTTTCAAGAGGGAGAATGACTTGCAATTCAGACAGGAAGCCAGTGGGAACTGGATTAAAAATCCTTTTCTGTTTGTATTATTGAGGGATTAAACTGCTAGTCTGTTTGTTTTAAGCAATAGTTTTCCAGCCCTGCTTTCTTTAAGAAACTGTGTCTGTCTCAGTTATGCTTTGCTGTCCCGTCTTCCTGTAAATTTTGGACCATGTTAGCCAGTTTCAGCTGAGATTTGGAGAAGCAGCTCAGAAATAATTGCATTTCACCAGTTTTGTCAAAACATGGGGAAAAGGAAAAAAAAGGTTGTGAGAATGTCCTGGTGATCTCATCAGCTGAACTCATCTTGCTAGACACAGAATCCATAGAGTAGTGAGGTCTTTGAAAGGTCCAGCCAGAGGAAGTAGCAGTCTATAGAGACCAAAGCTATTTAAGATTTTTAGGAAACCGAGTTTCAATAGATCTGAAGCCAGTTATTTTTAAGTTCCTGTCTTATCCCCCTTACATTTTGCAGCTTTTTGAATGAGGAGCACTTACAAGGAAAAAAATAGCATCATAAATTTGATGTGGCTTCAACTCTGCTTATTATTTCTTGGGTGATTGTAGTTCATCTGTTTCTTTTGCACTGTCTGGGAAATTTCAAATAATTGAGATCTCTTTCTTTTTATGTTACAAAATGTCTTTCATATTCTGCAGTAACTGACAAATTACCACAGTAATACTAGCTACTTCTGTTTTAATTTAATCACTTTACAGAATTATCAATACTTATTGGTATCACATCCCACTCCTAAGAAGAAGGGAACACCCAAGATTCATAGATGCCTGTGGTTGAAAATGTCAAAAGCTAGAAGGGTCTGAAAAAGCTTACAAAGTTTTATTATCAAATCATACACTTGGTGTGGAAATTGGTATAAGTTTTGTCCTTATTTTCTAGTAGTAGGAGAAATAGAAGAAAAGAAGGAATAGAGAGAGAATGAGAGATCAGGTAGGAGAGGAAAGGAGATCACCAGTCCTGGTTCCAGTGTTGATCCAGCTGATGGGGTGTTCAAGGTCCTGGAGGTACCACCCAGGCTTTGTGGGGGTATCTTTTTATAGATAAGTTTTCCCCGCCTTAGGATTAGGTTTCTTGCTCTCCTCGTCAATGAAGTAGCATGCACAGTCTGCTCTTCTAAGCCTTTCTGGAAATGGGTTGGGGGACTATGAGGGTCTTTGGTGGTCTCAATCCTCCTCTATTGGATTGGCCTTCTGCCCACAGTTTATGCCCATTTCTTGACCCCACTTCTGCGCTTGCACTGTCATTGTGAAGTCACCGTGAACCACAACAGGGAAGTGGGCCGCAGAAAGGTGCTGCCCTACCTTTTGTATGGTCTTCCTCTCCAGCCACATCCTGTTCTAACTTGCCCACCTGCTTAGCTATCAGTGTTTGAGACATAGCAGTGCATTAACTCCTTGTTGTCCAGGCTTTGACAATTGGTTATTTTTAATTACTATCTTTTCTGAAGGATCTGTTTTCAACTTACATGAAGACCAAAGCTTACACTGTTTTTAGTGAAAATAAAATAAGATCATTCAGGTTATAAAATTAAAAAATTGTGGGGTAAAAGCACTAAATATATTTATTGTTTATTCTCAAAATATCAGGAGAAATAGAGAGGGTAAATATTGTTCTAAGAATCATAAATGTATTTTATATTCTTTTACACAGATTGACTTGGAGAGCATATTTTCACTTAACCCAGATCTTGCACCTGATGAAGATATTGAACCTAGTCCAGAGACACCATCTACTTCAGCAGCTAAAGTAAACAAAATCATGAAGGTTGGTAATACCTATGCAGCATGTTCATATTAAACTTTCAGTACTCCTACACATGTTGTTATGCTTGAATTTTTAAATCTAACTTTTGTGTCTGTGGAACTACTTGATAAATGTGTTCCTTTCTTTTTCCTATGCTGAATAGGGGTTTCTAACAATTTTATAAGAACAGGTTTGGCAGAAAGGGAGTTGGGGACTAATATTTATATAACTAAATATATCTCAAGGAAAAATATAGAAAATGTTTTGGAGGTTGTTTTGAAACAGTATACATAGTTCAGTCTTCACCCTGGGCTCTTATGGGAAGGACTTGGCAGCAATCACTTCTTTGTATTGATGTCATGTTATTTTTATTTACTGGAAAGAAGCAGAGGTAGGGCTGCAGTTTACATTTTCAATAATAAGGTGATCAAATAACAGATATTTCTTTCTTTTACAGAGTCGACGAACCATGGCACCAATTAAGAATGACATTCCTGCCAGAGATAACAGAGGTAAATGTTATCTCTTTCCCTTTGTCCACGTTTGACACTGGCTAAGCGCCAGGCACCCACAAAAAATCATTTATTCATTCTTCTCTGCTATAGTTGAGCAGAGGAGGGGAAAAAAACAACTAAAGGGGTTCATGAGTTGAGGTAAGGATTGGAAAGAAACACTTTAAGGGCAAAACAGGCTCAAAACTTGAAAGATATAAAGAAAAATTTATTAACAGAATTAAAAGAGGATAATAAGAATTAAAATAAACCTTTAGAACACTTCCCCTCCCCCCAGCCCTTTTTTCCTTCCCACCGACAGCACAGGGAGACAAAACATGGTGTTTTTAGTCAGTTTGTCACTTCTAAAAATCTTTCTTCAGTTCGCTTAGGGAGACGAGTCTCTTCTACTATGCCGTGGGATCCTTCCCATGGGAGACAGTTCTTTGTGAACTTCTCCAATGCCATTCTAATTTTCACAAGTAGCAGTCCTGCCCAAACCTGCTGCAATGTGAGTCCCTTCCACGGGCAAAACAGTCTTCCCACAACTGTTTTTTATGGGTCATTTAGCTCATGGAGTACAGTTTTTAAGGATGAGCTGTTCTAGTATAAAATCAAGGGTCCTCTTCCTCTATCTCTGGAAGCAAGGGTCCTCTTTCTCTCTTCAAGTTTGTCACTAGGTTATAGCTTTTAAGTATCCACATGCTCCAATGTGAGCACCTTTTTCTCATGAGCTGTGGGTAGACTTCTACATCCCCCTATGCACTTCATGAATTAAAGGGAAACAGTTTGTTGTTTTATAGTCCTCACCATGGCTTGTAGATCAGCTCCGATGCCCGGAGCACCTCCTTCCCCCCTCCCTTCTTTTCACTGACCTTAGTGTCACAATATTGTTCTCCTCACATGTCTTCACCTTTTCTTTTTCTCTGTCTTGGGAGAAAATTGGTCTCCATAGGTTTTTTTGTTGTCAAGTTCCCTCACCTGCTGGCCATGTGGTCCCTGATGGCACCATGCAGGCAGTGGCAGCCGCCAGCTCCATTCAGTGCCTTTTTTAATGCGAGGCACTGAAAAAAAAGAAAAGCTACTGCTGCCACTCCTGCCTTTCTGTCTGCAGCATGGCTGGTTAAAACCAGCTAAGCAAGTAAAGTTCATTGCAAGCCATGCTGAGAGAGCAGCAGCCACATGGCACCACCCCAACCATGTCCCCCTGGCTGCGCGATTTCAGCGGCCCCGTCTCGGCCACATGGGTGCTCCCAGCACTGATCCTGGCCATGTGGCTGCTCATGGCACTGGGATGGCCCCCCTGGCTGCGCGATTTCAGCGGCCCCGTCTCGGCCACATGGGTGCTCCCAGCACTGATCCTGGCCATGTGGCTGCTCATGGCACTGGGATGGCCCCCCTGGCGGAATGGCCCTGGCTGAGAAGGGCTCCGGCAGCCATTCAGGGAAGGGGCCTGGCAGCCCCCTTGCCACCCTTCTGAGGGGAGGAAGAAAGAGAGATTGCGTGCTTTTTTTCATTCTTAAATATGTCATCACAGAGGTGTTACAAACTTCTCTAATCAGGACAGCCAATATGTCCATCATCAGAGCTTTCAGGGATTGGCTCTGCTGGACATAAAAGCTTCAAGGAACTTTTCTCTCAGAAGCAGCCTCTGTGTCTTCCTCCGCCCCAGATAAAAGCCAGATTGTGTTAAACTAACAGACCCTTTCAAGGAAGTAAAAAAATATGAGAACATTTTTATCTCCTGCTCATATAACATTTCTTGATAATTCTGCATTTCTAATTCTAACCCTATGGGTGATTTGCAGAAAAAAACTCCACAACTTGTAAAAGTTGTAAAGCCAGTATGATTTATTTCAGTGCCGGACGCATGCAGGATAGCTCCCTCAAAGGACATGTGCACCCCCAAGAATTCCCGAATATATTTTATCCCTTAATTTGTTGCATATGCATAAAGTTTCACGATAGGTTCATGCATATTCATTTCATAGCCCCGTTTCGTATTAAAACTGTCTTATCAGTTTTTATGAGCCTGCGCAGTTCTCCAGTAACGTCACTGTAATGTCCACTGTGCCTGCAACCCAGCTTGAGTTTTCTTTCCAAGGTCGGTGGGACCCCTCCTCATCTCTCTTCAGCTTGGAAGCTTGCATTCCTTTCTAAGTAGCCTTGAATCTCCTCTGTTCTCTCTGCAGGCCTTTTTCGAGCTCAGCAATTTAGCAGACTAAATAAGTTTAGCAGGCTATAGACTAAACAAGCTAAAACAGCACTCTTCAGCTAAATCCAAAATTGGTTTCTACCCCAAGTTAAATTTCTAACCCCCTGCCTCAGGATTATTTCTCACTTTACAGTTAATAGTGAAAAATCTATAAAAATATTTAAATATCACAAGAGGATAAGTGAAAAGTTTGTGTTGTATGAATATAGATGCATCTAATAACAAGAGAAAGAATAATTATTTCTCATTGTTTCTGTGAGAAGCAACCGCTCACTTTAGAAATTTTAAAATGTTTTAAAAATCATTTTAGTGCTTTTCACTGTTCCTCTCCTTAACAGATACTTGTAATTTTCATAGGACAATTATATTAATGACTAATATAATTTTAATTCTGTTTAAAATGTTACTTAAACAGTTATCTAAAGCATGTAGAGTAGTCTTGTGAGGCTTTCAATTGTCTTTCACAAAGTACAGTAACAGGGGAGTAGTGTTAGTCTATCAATATACGAGAATGAGTTCACACATTTATAAGTTCTAACAAGTCTACAGCAAAATTAAGGCACGAGGTAAGAATATAAATAACAGCAGTTTGAATGGGTTGGTTTGTATCTCTGTTATAAGCTCAGTTGAGCTCTACATATTGTACACAGGGAGTTAGGGGCTCCTCTGGTCAGTAGAGCTCAGTAGTGATACATACACATTGACACACACAAACAAACGTTTGTTTTCTCAGGTGAGTCAGCAACCGGATGCACTGAGTTGTGCATCCAGAGCCATGTTTCTGGGCATGCCCAGTCCATGTCTGCACGTAGGGGTATGTGCAGAAGTAGTACACACACACAGGTACTTGTTTATTGGTACAGAATCTTGGAGTACAGAGGTACTTGTAAGCAGCACACACTTGTACACACACATGGAGCTGTGCACGCTCTACTTGCACATGCTAGCACGTGTGCCACAGAGACATTCATGTACAGTCTCTACCAATGCACATGCACTCACAAACACAAGACTTGCTTGTATGTAGAACTTGTGTACATTAACGCAAGTATATGAATCTGTGCACACTAATATGTGTAATGTCATCAACACACATATCTTACACAGGGCTATGCTCACACTTGTAGAGCCTGTGCACACTCACAAACACAGAGCTGTAGACAAACTTAGTCACACCTGAGAGGGGGTAATTTAACACACATGTATATAGTAATGCACATAACACGTGTACACCTTGGTACTTGTGTGTGTGCACCCAGTGTCGTGCACACTGGCGCACACAGGTATTGTATGTGTAGACTTACACACCTTGGTACACATGTCCCCATAGATACACACTGGCATATACGTGTAAAACACTCCCCAGAGCTCTTCTGGAAAGAGAGTAGTAGGACATTTGCACTGCTTGTTACCACCTTGCCACTTCTAGGTAGTATTTTACTCTCTGTGCCTTTGGGGTGGGATCAGACAGTGTTGTTTTAAAAGAAAGGTTAAAGAAAGACTGTGTTGGATTTTTGCTTCCTGCCTCTTACCTTACAATGGCAGGAGGGCACAAAACTGAGCACCTTTTTGTTGTTTCGTCTTTCCTAGAGGCTTAATCGGCACAAAGGGGAGGTCATTTATTTAGATTGTGGAGATTTGGACAAGTACTTCTCTTGCAGAGAACAATTTTAGCATAACAAGTATATAAAAAAAATTTGGCCTATCTCCTTTATAAGGAAAAGAGGTTTCTCTTTTGAAATCAATACCAACTAAAACCAGAGAGAAAAGTACTAAAAAGAGAGAGAACAAGGCATAGACTGGCTGTCCCCTGTTCTCAGAATGATGAAAGAAAATGCTGAGGCACTTTCCAGTAGATGAGACTGAAGGCTTTGAAATGAAGAGGTGCTAAATTTTCAAATTCTCATGTTCCCATGGGATATATTAATATGTCTCATACTGTGCCTCTATTCTTTTAAGGCTAAGTATAGATTTATTGCATCTTCTCTGAAGAGGGCAATACAAAAACCAAACCCAAGTCTCCTTCCCCCAGCTCCTTAAATAAGACGCTATCTTTCCTCTCTTGTTAGGCAAAATTCAAGAGGATTTCTGATATAATGAACAGCATTTAGAAATACAATACAAAAATTCTTATTAAACTAGTTTCTGAATTGCCCAAATTATTCAATACAATCAGGCAGTGTATCAAACTTCCCACACAGAGAGAACAGCTCAGCTCTTTCTGATATCATTAAGATGTCATGTCATTAACAACATTTTTGTGCAAAGTTTCCACAAGGTATTTGGAAACTGCTTTCTCTGGAAGGCTTTGTAAGTTTGTAAATGAAGTAATTTCAAATGCACTAATGAATGCAGAATGTTAGTAGAGGTTTCCTAACTTATCTCATAACTTTAATTTCAATTGGATCTGCATACAAAACTGTCGCTATTGAGTAAGAAAGTGGCACAGACTCTAAGCAGGCTGATTTGCACAACAGCAGATTTAATGTGAAAAACTCTTCTCTTTTTATAGACAGTTCTGATACATTCCACGTGATTGGCTAATTAACAAAAGCACTTTTCTCAGAAACAGTCCTTGAGAGGAACAGAAAAACAGAGTAGGAAAACACCACTTGCAGGTTGTTTATACTAATAAGTTATCATCATTTCTCTACAACTCCCTAAAAAGTCTCGCAAGTCCACTGTGAGAAAACTAATCTCATTTTCTCACTCTCTGACCAGGATGTCACATCCACAGGTCCCCCTTTTTGTTTAAAGATGGAGGCGGTGTTTTTAATCCTCTGCAGGGCCCCTTGCAGGAAGGAGA